CTGGGCCCGCCCTGCACTGGTCGTTCAGGGTCGCCGTTCCAGTATTTAACCGGATCCCTTATCAGTGTTATCAGTATAATCGACGTTATTCGTGTCTATGGTAATATTGCCCCATAAATCAAATTCTACATACTCGTGTAGTATGTGTGCATAATACACACACACACACACACACACACACACACACACACACACACACACACACACACACACACACACACACACATACACACACACACACACACACACACACACATACACACACACACACACACACACACATACACACACACGAATATTACATAATATTTAGCTTTAGGATTCAATGACATCAGCAACACTCTAAAACACTCATTGGACTTTCAGGACTGGTGATTTGTCAAGTCCTTTTAAACACTAGTTTGGAGCGAAAGCCAAGGAAATCTGAAAATAGAAATCCTACATGTCATTGGCCAAAATACACACGGTTGCATGACGCCGGCGAGGGAGGGCAGGGTACGAGAAATGCCCGAGCGCGGGGCAAGCGTTTAATGGAAGGGCAAATCGGGCAGAACTTCACCAGCCCTCGAGCGTTAAGGACAAGATCATGAGAACGCGGGAAAGGAAATAGGAAGCCCTTTGATGATGGCCATACAGCACATGAAAAACTGTTATTGAAATCCAAATCCTCATTGTATCTTCAGAACACAACATACATGATTTTATATGAAACCCAATCTTTACCAAAAGGTACCAGAAGTACATCCTTTAATAGCCGTTCATATGGTAATTCAAAACAGGAACTTATCCCATAATCTCGCAAACAAAGACTACAGCTGCAATACCGAGAACAAACGGCACTGGGGATAAAAATAAAGAATTCTACCCTGGTGCCTGACACATCAAAAATCCCTTAGATTCGTAAACCTCCGCCACAAATACTGCATCGGAATCTGGGCGTCGCAGGCGGAGGATCAGAACCAAAAAGCAACTGTCAACCAGAGTCTAAGGCATTCAGAATCACACCAACCCAGAAGCAGAATAGTGTGGCTTTCATAATCACAGAAGACCTTTAGAACAAGTGCTATACAAAGAATCCACTCAGTATTCAAACGCCAAGCAAACTTAACTTAAATAAAGAATATGTATATATATTATTAAACACACACACACACACACACATATGTGTGTGTGTGTGTGTGTAGCTATCTCACAACTACTTCATAAACAGTTCTTCACACTGCTCGGGGTCTATCCCTGGAAAGGCAATGATAAAAATGGGCCCCAAACCCACCCACACCCGACCTGCCTTTACAGTCTGCCTCAGAGGCAAAAGCAAAAAAAAATACTTGCCTGAAGCGGCAGAGACTGGGACACCATTCGAAGAAATTTATCATTAGGTAGTATCACACGGAATAATTGGTTACTGATAAAGAAAAGAATCCCACACAAAGAATCGTGTTCATATAAGACTAAATAAATTCGTATATATCAAGAATAATTATTAACTAATTCCATTAATTTCATTGAAAGTACACCATCATAACATTGCCTCCCCCCCCCCCCCCCGACAATAAATTACCTGATTACCTGGTAACTCGCGAAAAAATCTCCCGTGAAAATCCTTCCTCTTCCTCTGTTCCTCTGTTCCTCTGTTCCTCTGTTCCTCTGTTCCTCTGTTCCTCTGTTCCTCTGTTCCTCGCTTCCTCGCTTCCCTTCCTTCCTCCCCCCCAAAGGCAAGCGGGGGTTGCCAGCTCAGACTAGTTCGTGATCTGATATTTCATGCTTAATGTCCATCGCTAATTTCTCGAGGGATGTCACTACAGTGTGTGGTGCCATGGCTGTTAAAACGTATAAAGAAGACTACATAATGCTTCCTAAATTGGACACTTTCTAAACACCTAAGTCGAATGGGCTGACAACCCTAAATGATAACTAGAACGATAATTAATGATGGAGGCGCTATTGATGGGAAAAAAAAACTTTGCTTACAAGGACAGTTTGCATCATACATTAAATATAGATATTGACAAATTCCTTAGAAATTTGCTACGTAGAAGCAAGTCAAAACCAAATGTAAAGTCAAATCCAAAAGCATTTTAAGTAAGTATTACACTACAAACCTTAACAGATCAATTGTCAATAATTAGTATAAATAAAATTCATTTGAAGATTACGGGAACTGAAGGCATTACTTCATATGAATTTCTCTCAAAATTTCGACACACACACACACACACGTGCGCGCACACACACACACACACACACACACACACACACACACACACACACACACACACACACACACACACACACACACACACACACACATATATATATATATAAATATAAATATATATATATATATATATATATATATATATATATATATATATATATATATATATATATATATATATATATATAAGCACACACACACAAACACACACACACATGTATATATATATATATATATATATATATATATATATATATATATATATATATATATATATATATA